CTGCTGCTGCTGCTGCTATTGCTGCACCTTGCAGCAGCGAGCACGAGGTGTACATACACCCCAACTCTACAACACACCCTTGACCACCCCTGCTGCTGCCTAAACCCTAAACCCTAGCACTTGGGCTTCGTACAAACCACACTCCATAACTCCTTCATCTCAAACCCTAAACCCTAAACCCTAAACCCTAAACCCTAAACCCTAACAGACCACGCGTCGGCAGCAGCTGTAGCGCAGGCCGCAAGCGGGTCACGTCGTGGGAACAGCAGCAAAAACAGCAGCAGCAGCAACGACAGCAGCAGCAGCAGCAGCAGCAGTAGCAGCAGCAGCAGCAGCAGCAGCAGCAGCAAGCTAGCGCCCCCTACTCTTGAGCCTGCCCCCTGAAGCTGTTGTCTCCACTCTGCTGAGCTGCAGGCAGCTGCTGCGGTCACCAGCTGGCAGCAGCAGCAGCAGCAGCAGCAGCGGCAACAAGAACAGCAGCAGCAGCGGCAGCAACAGCAGCAGCAGCAGCAGACAAGGCAGCTGCAGCAGCAGCAGCAGCAGCAAAAACCCTCCTGCTGCTACCACTGCTTGTCTTCTATCACCAGCAGATACACCCCAAAGAAACAAAAACGATGCTGCTGCTTCTCCTGTTGCTGCTGCCGACGGGAGGATCTGCAGCCTCAGCAGCAAACCCAACAGCTGCAGCAGCAGCAGCAGCAGCAACAGCAACAACAGCAGCAGCAGCAGCAGCAGCAGATAGGCTCTTCTGCTGATGTCTGAGTTTCATAGACCCCGCCGGGGAGCCGGCAGAGGGAGTGCTGCAGCAGCTGAGGGGGGCCAGCTTAGGTCAGCAGCAGCAGCAGCAGCAGCAGCAGCAGCACAAGCAGCAACAACAGCAGCAGCAGCAAGAGCCCCAACACAAGCAGCAGCGTCAACAGGTGCTGCAGCAGCTGCTGCTCCATCTGCTGCTGCTGCAAATACCGTGCGAGGCGCACAGCTACAAACAGGGAGAACAGCAGCAGCACCTGCAGCAGCAGCAGCAGCAGCAGCAGCAGCAAGAGCAGCAGCAGGAGCAGCACCAATGCGAAGACCACGATCAGCAGGCGTTGCAGCAGCAGCAGCACCGCATGCAGCAGCA